GTATTTTTAAAGTAGTGCTACTTCATATTCTGGTAGTTAAGTGTTTGTGAACCTCTGTGATAACTCCTTCAGGATTTTTAGATTCCCTCAGGATTTCTAGAAGCAGAAAATCCAAGCCAAAGGATGTGCATATCTTCAAAGCTCTCCATGCAACTGCCTCCTCCAGGCCACACCATCTACTGTCCCTCTGCGTGGACGAGGGCCTGCGTGCCCCGCCTCACCAGTCCGCAGTCTCTTCCTAATCGCGCTGTAACGGGACAGCTCATGGGGCGTTCCAGAGACAACACAAGCTTGAGGCCTCGACCCCCTCCCCGACTGTGAACTTAGCAATGTCACCTCTCTCAGTCTTTGTTTCCTCTTCTGTGAATGGGAAAATGAACAGCTCCTACCATGGTAAGCTATGAACGCTGAACCAGGTAATACAGAAAGCATTTGTAAATGTGGACTCAAAGATTCTCTGCTTTGGAGGCTGAAGAAGCAGAGCACACAAAGACCCCCTCGTGGGGAAAATGGGAGCATTCCGGCACGGGATGAAAAGAAGGCTGGGGAGGCCAGCCAGGGCACAGCAAAGAGGCAGCGCTTATCTTAGGGACAATGCGGGAGCCACTGAAGGCTTTTAAGGCACAGGACTGTGGGGGGAAGGGTGCTGTTATCAGACTTGGAGTTCAAACTGCTCACACCTGCAGGCAGGAGAGAAGAAACTGCAGGGGAAAAACAGCAACAGGAAGCCTCGCTGGGAGGCCACTGGACAGTGGCTGGGGGGTCATGGAGATGGTGACAAGTTGATAGATCCAGAGACAGGAGATAAGAAATATACATACCATGCTTCAGGAGGTGATGAAGGACTGGAGGGAAAGGAGGGGACAGGAATGATGGGCCAGAAAGGAAGGAAAATGGCACCCTTCAGAGCATGACACGACCAGGTCTGGGACATCATGAGTTTGATGTCCTTTAGACTTAAAAGATGCCAAGAGGGCAGGGGAATATACTGGGTTGGTCAAGGAGATGTGACTTACAAATAAATAACCCTAGAACAAGGTAGGAGGTGCTAAGGGTTTGGGAGGATGGTCAGTGTAAAGTGTTGGGGTATCCAGAGATGGAAGAGCTCACTTCCAGCTGGAGACGAGGCAATCAAGGAAGGCTGCATGGAAGAGGGGATAATGGGGCCATGAAGGATGAGGCTAGATTTAGGTATTCAGAACAGGGCATTTGAGGGGCAGTGACTGGGCAAAGGCAGAGAGGGGGCCTGGTCACCATTCCAGGTCTCACACCAGTCCCTGCACTCCCCAGCTGAGGCCAGGGACTCACAAGAAGCTGCTTTTTCTGCGTATGCTCCTCCATCTTTTGCTTCATGCTCTCCTTCCGCTGCTGTCGGGGGAGCTTCTCCACCTCGTTCTTCACCTGCAACAGAGACAGCAGAGAGGGGCTGGGTCAGGGTCCTCTCCATGCTTCCTGCAGTATATTCTTCAACCCAGAACTCCTGGGCCAGAGATTGAGGAAGAGGCTCAGCGTTGCAAGGGCCAGCACCCTATGCGGCTCCCACCAAACCCCTCTGAGCAGGTGCCTCCCACTGGCCTACTCCTGCCTGCTGCTGGTTTCAGCTTCCAACTCCCCTAGAGTGGGCAGGTGCAGTTTCCAGCTGCGTGGTATCCTCCCTCCTCTTCTGGTAACAGCGCCCGGCTTCCTGCAGGGCAGTGTTTCTCCACCTTTTTAAAAAGTGACAGTCCCCACAGAAGTTCTTTTAGACATTTTTTCCTAATCCCTCTCCCCCCATGAAATTAGTCCAACAGACAATACTGTCGATCTGATAAACCACTGTCACATCTCAGGTATTTGGCTTCCTCTGCAGTAATATTAGCCTGGCTGAGAATGCACATCTTTTGTTTTTTTGAGATGGAATCAAGCAATTCTCCCGCCTCAGCCTCCCAAGTAGCTG